CCGAGGAGGCCAACCACAGGCCCAGCCTGGTGCGCAGGCGCTTGGAAGCCTCTGGGCACGTGGGCGGGGCCTAATTTAAGGTCCCGCCCACTGAGTACCGGCCCCGCCCTTAGCCCCCTCCCAGGGCCCCGCCTCCTCATCCCCACGGGACTTCTCCAGCTTCTGGTTCCCGCACCATCGCCGCGACCCCGGGCGGTCTGCGTGCCTTCAGCAGCGCAGGCCGAAACTGTCCCCAACAAATGCTCTGCAGAGAGGGCGGTCCTGAGGACACTGGGACAGCTGTTGTGCATTTCTGTCTTTGCATTGGGAGTTTTCTCTAGGCTGAGGGAGAACGCCCCGAAAGCACAGCGTGCGCGGGCCTGGTTTAGAAACTGCGCGGTGCTTCCTGCCCTGCGGCAAGGTGTGGGCTGCGCCGCGCCGGGCCCGTCTGCGGGTGGCTGCGGGCTTGGCGATGGCGGGAGAGGGGAGGCTGCCGCCTAGAGCCCGGCCGCGGAAGTGACAGCGTGCGTGTCAGAAGCGCTTTCCGGGCTCCGAGGGAGAAGGTTGTCAACAAACTGTAACGGAACTTATTTTGATTTGGAAATTAACTGAAGGCATTGATAGTCATTGTTGGAATCTTTGCGATATGAGTTGCTGAAATAAGATCTTTAGATATAATTTTTTTCTCACAAATTTGCTAAATGAGTGTGATCAAATGTTTGAAGTTATGCACGTGAATGGAAAGCATTTTAAGAATGTGTCTGTTGAAGGAAGGGAAAAGAAAAAAAACATGCACACGACAGCTAAGATAATTATACTACTAATTTCTATTAGATAATTGAAAAGAACGGTTTTTGCTTATATTGTTTGATCAATTTTGCATACCTATATCTTATAATCTGAGCAAGTACTTTGAAGATAACAATATGCAATATATTAACCGTTGTTAAATTCCCACTATCTTGTTTTGAAATTCTGTATCGTTTTTATTGTTTTTCTGTCTTTAAAATAAAAAAAGAATATGTCTGCTACAGGCGTTGCACTTGCATGGCAGTGCTGTTATTACAAGGTCCATTTCAGGCACAAATAGCCCGGATGCTGGGTGCAGCACCCTTTTATTCAGAATATCTCGTGAAGCCTTTGAAACTGTTCTAAATTATTTTCCAAGGGTCTGTTTTTGGCTTTCTAGGAAGCGCCTCGGCGAAGGTTAGGAATCTTTGCTTGCAAGATTAGTCTTTTATTTGAGGGGACAGGCACTGTGCTCCACAATGCTACAAAAAGCTGCAGAAGACTTAAAAAAAAAGTTCGTCGGAGCTGTTCTGTGTGCTGTTGGCCTGGTGACACTCCTCGCTGTAACCATTTATCACTGAGACATTTTCTCATCAGTAGACAAAGGATATATTCCCTACTTGATGTATAGGGCTTTAGCTGCTCAGCCTCATGAATGTTAATGGGAATACGACCTTCTTTCTGCATATAGGTTACTTTTCTTATTTTAATGTCAAAGCCAGTGGAATCCTTGTGAGAGCCTGAGTGATGGACTTTCCAGCACTGCTACTGACTGCTACCTGTGTCCTTTATGCATACTTTCTCAATGATGTCTGCATGCTCTTAACTCATTATTTGTATTTCACAAGGATGCAGTAATTGAAATTCTTACCAAAAGGCCATAGTAGAATTATGTTTTATTATTCGAATATACAAAGGAAGCAGTTAGCCATGAATTTTGGCTGAGTTCCAGAAAGCTGGCCAGCGGGAGCAACTACTTGATCTTTGAGAAAAAAGGATGTCCCCAGTGCTCAGCAAAGCACAAAAGATTTTTCCTTTTTTGAGATCTGGTCTGATACAGTTTCAATTAAAAAACTGGAGATTAAAGACTATTGAGATTACAGAAATATGTGTTTTTATCACTAATGGCTAGGTTTTGAGTTGCTCCAGAGTAAAAACTGTGGAAAGGGTATAAATTGCTGCAACCTGTTAGGAGTGTCATTTGGGAATACAATATCTATCAAAGTTAGAAATGCAATGGATTGAACTTTTACACTGCTAAGACATTACCTTGGATTCACATATACATATACATAGCTAGGAGATTTGACAGATTATTTAGGAATATTTATTACAGTAATAGCCAAAAGGAAACATTCCAAATGTTCATCCGGTGCCACGTAGATAGTTCTGCTGTTAAGACAATGCCATACTATATTTTGGTTCAAAAGAATGAGTTAATCTTTATTTGGTGATTTATTCATTCACTTATCTAAGAAATTTTTGTTGAAGGAAGTGTATATGTAAGATCGTTGTTCTAGGCACCGCGGGTACAGTGCAAGGGGTTATAGCTCAGAGGCACAAGCACCTGCCTGGCAAGCTCAAGGGTCTGAGTCTGATTCCTGGTACCAAAACAAACCCCCAAAAACAGTGCTTAGAGGGGGCTGGGGATTTAGCTCAGCGGCAAAGCTCCTGCCTGGCAAGCGCAAAGTCATGAGTTCGTTTCCCCGTACTGGAGAAAAACAAAATTAAAAAAACAAACAAACAAACAAACACTGCTTAGAAAGACTAAGTCCCCTAGCTGTGGAGTTTTCAGACTGTAGGCAAGGAGAAAGATCTCCACAACGGAATCTAAAGTTTAAAAGACTAGATGTGGCAGCAAGATAGTCAGGAGATGTTTTTCTTGTAGGTATCTCGGTGTAGATTGAATTTTGGTCACTGCATGCTTTTCCTACTGTTAAAAATATTAAGAGTGAATACATTTTATTTTTTAATAACTGGGCTTGTTTTTTCCGGAGCTGACCATCCATCTCTTTATCATTTCTGAGTCTGTTTGTACTTTGTGTTCAAGTAATGAATGCCTGGAGGAAAAACCTAGATCGATTCCCTCAGAAACCAAAAAATGAAAGGGAAACAGAACTTGAATTCTTTTGACATTTCTTCTTGGTATCCTCTGATTTCTTCCAGTCCTGTTTTGCTTTCTGACCCTCCGTTCTCTTACTAGCCTTTTTAAAAATTCTACTTTCCAGAAACAAACTTAGAAAATACTGTTGTACTCTAAGGAAATACTTAACGTAATCTGAGATGAATTTATAATTGGATTATCAGGTGAACTTTTAAAAAACTTCATCTCTGTTCTTCAGTCTATATAGAGAGAACTATTGTGTGTCTAGGCTAGAAGTCTTGGAAACAGACTAAATGATATAGACATATGTTCTGCTAGCAAGTGTGCTACTAGGTGTCCTCCCTACTTCCCTCCTTACTTTCCTTTCACCTACTGCCCTTTCCTACTTCCCTTTTACCCTGTGATGTTAAACATGGTTATTATTATAATCCCAGCTCTTCTATAATGTGGATAAAAGGAAGGGTCAAATATACCTTAGGAATCTAGAGCTGCTTATAGATGCTGGTCATTCATTCAGGGATATTAAATATGATATGAGAATGACCATCTCCAGTGACTCCATCAGTGCAGACTTTGTCGAGTGAAAGCTAGCTTCATATACCCTATTGTAAATTCCTTAGCCCAGCAATTAGTGCATGTAGAAAGGACCAGCTATATGCTTATAATTAAGTAGGCTGTAACTTGAAACACTTTGCTTCCCACGGCCTGTACCAGAATGGTGGCCACAAGGGCTAATTGGTGCAGGTGAATATGTCCAGAAACTGCAGCCTACTTGTGGTTGTGCCTACTCACCCAAATACCCACGTTGGTCAGGTAGAATCAGTCAAGTCCGCTACACTGAAAAAAAAACAAAACATGAGACATGACCAAGCTGTAGGGTTGGATGAAGGCAAAAGTGATCACACAGAAGGGAAAACAAGTAAGACAGAATGCAGAGGTGGCTATTGCATTAGCGTTTATGGGTCTTCGGTCATGTCCTCAGAGTCAAGAAGGTTAGGGATAGAGGCATACATAAGGAGAGTAGAAGAGGCAACAGCACCTTCTTATTCTGTTCTAAGTCTTTCCAGATAGTTAGAGACCACTTCTGTGATGGTCCTCAGCCTAACCAACAGTATCTAAAAAGCCAAGCAAAGAGTTGAAAAGCAGAGTTTCCTTGCCTATATAAAAAAATCATAGAACAGTGAGCTGTCCATACCTCCAGCAAAGGCCATATTTATCTGACAAAATATGACACAGTTGACAGCTGATCAGTGAGCAAATATTAAACAGCTTTAGGCTCCGGGATGTAGGTGAACAATCAGGTCCAAATCCTTGCTTTTGTGGAGCTTACATTCTTGGAGTGGAGGACAGATAATACTGTGTAAGTAAAAGAAACACTAATGTGTTAGGTGGTGGTGGTGGATCGATGAAAATTAAGTAGGGGATGACAGGAGGTCTGAGACAGCCACGTAGGCCGTGGCAAGGTCTTAGGCTTTCACTATGGGCAAGACAGGATATCAGTGGAGGGTTTGTGCAGAGGAGAATGCAATCTACCTCTCAAAGGTCCCTAGGAGGATTAGAACGGAACTGGCAGCCGGCTTAGGAGACAACCAGAAGAACCCAGGCAAAGGGGAGGTTGACTTGCACCAGGGAGGAGCACTGATGTGGGTTAAAGACACTTGATTTACAAATAGTTTTTCAAAGCCTCTAATTCCACAATGATACTCAGTTTTGTTTTTAAGAAATGTTTTTCATGGGCTGGGGCTGTAGCTCTTGCTCAGTACGCAGGAGGCCCACAGTTTGATCCCCAGCACTATAAACAAAGCCAAACAATACCAAGTTTTCATCAGCTCTTTCTTGCATGCACGGATAGTGACTCTGTACCTAGGATCTCCTTTCCCCATTCCTTCTACATAGGAGAGATTTACTGCTCAGCAACTGTTGGATCTAAGTAAAGTTTCCTTTCTCGCTCTATTTTCTTTCATTTATAGTTAAGGTTGAGCTGAATT